CGGAATTCCGTCACTGTCAGTTGCTTTCGCAGCATCAGCTCATCTCTCCCGTAGCTACACCTCTCCTTCCATCATGACCAAATATTACGTATACCTCTTCAGCGGCAAGTTTATTAAAATTATTAGAGCAATCATCCATAGCCTGCAGTGCACAGTCATGGCTGCTAAAAACCAGAGGTCATGACTTCGTAACTTGCATGCAAAATGTACATGTACGCGGAGTTTTGCAGACTACCCGTCACTATCTCGTCCTCCCCAGGATACCTGAAAAAGGCTGATTCACTCGCATCTTCTGCTACATGTACTGTAGCAACGTGGGAAAGAACTTTGAAGAAGACGAGTTCGAGCATACAATAATGTACATCTTGCCATGATTTCTACCCTGCTCTTCATTGAAAACACTATCTGCATGACCTCCGAACCCTTTACCATGCAGACCACTATCACTGATCAGGTGCATTGTACACAATTGTGTAGCCCACATACTAGAACGGTGGTACAGTCATGTAGTTATGCTCCTACCTCCGAAAGGATGCAAAATGATGCTCCAAATTTTCAACCGCCAAATTATGCCGGCATAACCCGCCGGTGCCTAGAACTTCTAAACAAAAGAACCATCGCAGAGTGATGGGATCGGATTCCATTGAGCTGCACTGTGGTACTGTACAAGGAGTCTAGACAAGGGATCAAGGTTCTTGATTTTCAGTGCAAGACCGTGCTACAGTAATTGGCAGTGGAGCCATCGAAAATTGAAGAAAATGAAGAAACAAAACAAGCCAACATTTCCGATGTTGAGCCAATAGTAATATGTGAAGTGAAAAGGACCTGTAATAATTTTAGTAAAGAAAAAGGACCAAGAAATTACAAGTAACGCTATAATGTCCACTAACACCACCAGTTACTAAACAATCAGCTCATGCGATTACATTGCACGACCCTGACCGACAGTACTGACGTTCTACAATTAACGACGATGTGCTAGAGCTGTTAGCCAGTTAGTTGTAGAACGTCAGTACCGTCGGTCAGTGTCGTGCAATGTTATCGCATGAGCTGATTGTTTAGTAGCTGGTGGTGTTAGTGGACATTGTAGCGTAACTTGTAGTTTCTTGGTCCTTTTTCTTTACTATAAATTTAACCTTGGCTCTCCATCCGAGTCCATTGTTGCACACCTGATGAGCCGTCCTTACCTATACCGCGAAACGATCGTCGTGTGAAACTGCTGCTTGTTACCGCTGCTTATTGTCCATCTAAATTGGCATAGTCGAAGTACAGTGCAGTTTTACGAAGGCATTCGGTTTTGCATGATTCTTATTCGCATAGCTTCCCCCTTTTATTGATCTTCGCATCTTTGAGCTACACAAGTTGTGTGGAATGTTGCTTTGCGTTCTTGAATCGTGGTTTGACCGTATTGTCCAATGGTCATGTCAGTATCGTCGTCGACCTACATGACCATCCGCCAACGTCCCTCACAGCTGAGACAGTTGGCTCGTGCTTGTCTTGGTTGCGCTCACCTTCCCCTCCTCATGTTATTTCTATAACTTAGAACCTTCCAAGTAGGAAGGCTGTTGGAGTGCGCATCCAAGATGTGCTAGAGCTGTTAGCCAGTTAGTTGCAGAACGTCAGTACCGTCGGTCAGTGTCGTGCAATGTTATCGCATGAGCTGATTGTTTAGTAACTGGTGGTGTTAGTGGACATTATAGCGTAACTTGTAGTTTATTGGTCCTTTTTCTTAACTATAATATATTTCATTTATCCTTGGCTCTCCATCCGAGTCCGGACCTATAATAGCTACTAGTCATGACTAACAGTCCACCAAGGTGACGAGATAATATTATACAGTCAAATGGCCTACTAAGCCAGGCAAACCGTAGCCGCCGCGGTCAGCGGAGATTTTCTGTTGCTGGTGCTCTGCTGTGGAACGCTCTCCCTGGTGAGGTCCGCACAATTACCCGGCTACCTGAGTTTAAGCATGCATGTGTACCATACGCCTGTAGGGAGTAGTTCGAGTTGCTGCTGATCGCTCTGCTCTCCCTCCCCGTGCAGTTTAGTAACCCGCACGTAGTATCACAGATACATCGTATTCTCTCCCCCCCCCCCCGTTTACCCGCAGTTATTAGTATCCTATTCTCTTACTATGTGCTTCCATAGGTTTTACTATGTTCTTCCATAGCCACTTCTAGGCTAAGCCTTCGCCGTCATTTTATTGGGTCCTCATCCCGTTTGAATGTGCGAAGTGAAATAAAAACCAACCAACCAAGATAGTGCGACAACGAGGCACACAACTGACAAGGATATTGAGTCATTCGACGACCTGACACCTACGTGCAGCTCCAACATATCTACGAAGCGCAAACCAACAACCTTTCAACTAATACTTGGAAGTAGGGAGTAGTACAATACCTACTAGTACTACTCCCTACTTGGAAGGCTCAGGTGCGGAAGGGTCCAAGGAGGGGAAGGGATGCGCCACGAAGATGTGCGCGAGCTATGTCCCTCGGCAACAAAGAATGTCGAACGACGAACGTTACGGGATGATGATGATGACGAGACTAGTAAGACCACTGTACTGGACAAAGCGGTCTAACTACAAGTCGAAAACGCAAGGCAACAGACCACCCAACTAATTTGGGAGGCTCAAAGGTACTGTATGTAAAACTACAGCCATAAAGGAGGGAAGCCAGGTCGTCGAATGTCTCAATATCCTTGTTTTTTGTTTTTTAATTTTTTAATACGAAACTCTACTATATTCCCGAATATGCGCGAGAAGTGGTGCATGGCGGGGCCAGGCTGCTCTGCCGACCTCAAAGGTCTCGGCGTCTACGCAGACAAAGCGCGCCATAATGCAGTAAAACCATGAGGAGGGGAGGAAGAGGGGAAATGAATAATAGTGAGAAACAAGGACAATGGGTAGATGGTCGTGAGAGAAGCAGAGTAAAAGATAACGTCACATTGTGGTAAGGGGGGGGGGGAGGATGCTAATGAGGCGCTGGTCTAAACCGTTTCATAGGGCGTCGGTGGCTGCTTGCCAGTTCAGGTGCAGCAGATACTTGTTGCATTTTTCCTTGAAGGATTGGAGCTGTCTGGGTTGCGGCCGTGCTGGTAGAATGGTCGCTTGTCAGTTTTGTGCCTCGTTGTCGCACTATCTGACTGTAAATTATCTCGTTACCTTGGTGGACTGTTAGTCATAACTAGTAACTTCAATTTAGATCCTTTTCTCTTTAAATTAAATTACAAACCAATCTTTGGTAAAAAATAATAAATAAGAAGAAGGATAACGTGTTACGAGTTATGACTAACTAGTTAACTGTGCACCAACGTAACCAGATCATGCCATCAGCGAGTGCAACAAAAATGGCACAAAACTGACACAGGAGTGCTGAGAAATTCAGCGACATCTACCTGTACATGTAGAGGTGTCCGGTCGCTGAATGTCGCAGTCCTCCTTTCAGTTTTGTGCCATTTTGTCGCACTCGCTGACGCATGATCTGGTTACGTTGGTGGACAGTTAGTCATAACTCGTAACATTTTGTCCTTCTCTTTTTTTTTACCACGATTAAATTGGCGCGACATCCGAGTTCAACTAAGCCAATCTTCCCATACATTTTACAGCGCGTGCAAGGACCTGTCATCCGCAGGTTTGTGTGTGCGATGTGGGCACACTGCACTGGCGCAGACTCTGACTCAGTCTGTAGTAGACGTCTGCGTTATCACTTTTTAGTCTTCGTATCATTTCTGGAGGTGTCTGTCGATCTGACGACTTCTGAGAACTGCCCGTCCACGTCGGGTCGCGAAAAGCGTGGAAGATCCGAAATGCATGGGCACAGCGTGCGGCCTATCAAGACTCGAGTCAAGACAGGCAAACGTCAACATGCCATACCTAAGTCCTTTCATGGAGATGCTAGTCGCTAGCACGCATCCACCGTGCATCCACCTACAGTACATAGTCATGTAGATTGTAGTGCACTCAGCTCAAGAGGTGGCGTTACCGACAACTGCTCGCCAACATATTGCCATACGCTGCTACTACTACTAGTAGTAGTACTGAGCACTGAGGTCTGCCGTTGCGAATATGCGCACACTGTCCACAAGGCCGTACTTACCCATCGTGTAGTTGTCAATCGAGAAGTACTTTTGTTCAGGCCTAACCCTAACCCTAAACCTAACCCTAACCCTTATCCTAACCCACTACACTGGGGCGGTGGTACTGTATCAGCGCGTGCGCGCGCGTGTGTGTATGTGTGTGTGTGTGTGTGTGTGTGTGTGTGTGTGTGTGTGTGTGTGTGTGTGTGTGTGTGTGTGTGTGTGTGTGTGTGTGTGTGTGTGTATGTGTGTCCGTCTCAGACTCTGTGATTTCGACTGAATACGCCAGCTGCATTTTAATTTGATGAAATTCAATGACCGGGTCGCTTGCGGGCCCTTCATGTTCAAGGGTTGCAGCTGCCACGGAGTCGAAATCATGGTGTTGCAACCACTGGATCATGTGGATGCAGCCATAGTCATGACTCGTGGACAGGTATCGTTGAAACGTCTCTAGCTAGACAAGCATACATGCCTGGATAAGCACTACACCAGTCTGAAGTAAAGCCAGTCCGTATAAATACGAGACGGTTCGTGCCAGAAAGAACCTGCCACACCGCGGTGTTACTGTTAGCGAATACTAGAATCTGATGGTCAGCTGAGCTGGTGTCAAACGCTACGTCATCTAGTCGCCACAGACTGCAACTCACACTACTGGCACTGCATGCTACAGCCTACACAGACTGTCAATGTCATCATGGTCATAGCATTCGGTTGCTAGCTAAGTACTAAAGTAGCTTACCACTGCCGTCTGTCGCTTCCCAGTCCCAGACAGGCCGTGTTGCCAGTCCGACCTAGCACTGTCTGTGCCTGCACATACATAGTCATACTCATAGGCCTTGCACGACCTCGGCCGCAGCTCCGAGGCCGCGTTCTGACCCAGCCAGCCGTCACTGTGCCAGTAGCACGCCTTGCCTGAGTCCTGGCCATCTTCTCACTTGTTTCGCTGCTGATTTTTAGTCAGTCTAGTGTTGTTTGCTCAATCGTCCTCTTTGTAGCTCTTCTCTCGCCGTTCACGAACAGCTTTCAACATGCCCATCGGTCAGGTCAACGCATCTCTCTCTTCCAACAAGTATGGCGATGGAGCCGTCGGCGTAACTCACGCAACGGGTACGTTCCAATGGCATGCACCCCGCTGTCTGCGGTCTTTGTGCTGTAATGTCTTTATGAGCTAGGTGCGAGTCGGGGAAAGGAGACGGCGTGCTGCTGGGGAGTGTGTGTTCACAGGCAGCTGTTTGATGAGAGTTTCTTGTACGCTTGCACAGATGCGCAGGCGATTTGTGGTTGGTCCGGGATAGTGCGTAGAGCGGTGGCTTTGTCCATGCTGCTGTGCGTATGTGGTGGCAGGCTGGATACGCCTACCAATTGCGGCCAGTTGTGGATCAGGTGTTGCCTTTCTTGTGGGACTGCTGCATGCGTTGTTTTTTCAACACTTGTCCGAGCTGATGGGGCGTTCTCTCTCGGGTCTCACTCACCCGTGTGCCTGATGTTGTGTGTGTTCTCTGTTCTCTGCCTTATTCTGTTTGTGCAGATACGTCCGGCAAGGCCAGCCAGAAGTCCTCGCTACAGTACGGCATGGGTGTAGGCGGAACGAGCAGCTACGGCGACGGAGCGGTCGGCATTGAGACGGCGAAGGCCGTGCCCAAGGCCAGCGACAAGGAGAAGATGCAGTACGGCATGGGAGTGGGCGGCACGAGCGGTGTCGGAGCCGATGCCATGCACATCAAGGCTGCCGTCGACGCACCGAAGCCCAAGGCTGAGGGCCTCGGTCAGGTCGACAAGAAGATGTAGACGATGCGCGCATGCGCATCACGACGAATGACGACGACGTGCTGACACGACAACGACGACTCGGACAGTTGTACAGATCTCTCCCTTTTTCTCTCTCTCTCTCTCGTCTCATGCCCGACACAACATCACCGACCAGGGTGACTGGCCGGTGCGGCTTCATCACTGCTCTTCTCCGATTCTACCTCTCTCTCCCGGTTCGTATCATTATGTTCCGATCTGCTCATTCTCTCTGAGTTCTTCGGGGTAATTTTATGAGTCATCAGCGTGGTGCTTCTTTCTAGGAACGCCCTCTGTCATTGGCATGCAGTTAGCTCTCTTGCACGCTGTGGATAGAGCTGTCCTTGTGGCGTAGATCACTGGCTGTCTGCAGAGCTCTCCGTTCCCTTCTTTCTTTGCCCCCTAGGCCTAGGCCCAAACAACTCAACCACGAACTCCTTCATTCATTGCTCTGTCACTGTGTTTTATTATTATAGGCGATGTTGCTGTTCGCTCTATTCGCTGTATTTCTTCAACGACCCTCTAAATATGTTTGATTCCTGTTCCGAAGCGAGCTAACTAACTCCCTGGATGCTGCTACAGACGTGATATACAACAGGCTTTATAGTTTGAACGTGTCAGACCCGCTGCGATGTGTGTTTGCGCTGTGGACCATGGAATTAGTGGCTGATAGTGATATGGCACAGCAGCTAGCATGTTGGCACCGACCGTGCAACAGCTGTTCCTGCCTGAGCGGTCTGTTCCGCCGGAGCATAATATTAAATTTTGTCCATGCATGGCCAGTGCAGGAAAAGTCACTTCGCGCAGAGGCTGTGTCCATGTATGCGTATGTACGTTTCGCTGGCCATCTGGGGTGAAGTATCCGCTGCCTGGCCATGATAACAGTAATGGTGTCGCCCTTGTCTGTAATTAGTGAGCTGCGTGATACCTCCTGTGCTGTGGACGGGGGGATGTGTCTTGCTACGTTCAGGAAGTCGGCACGTGCTGCATATTCTGCGTGGTGATCTGAGTCGAGTCACTGGCCGCAGAAACGTGTGTGTGTGTGTGTGTGTGTGTGTGTGTGTGTGTGTGTGTGTGTGTGTGTGTGTGTTCTCCGTCAGCAACTCACATTATGCAAAATCGATGCCTGCGACTTGCATGCTTGCAGAGCAGAGCCTGGCATTGGGGAAATGCTGGTGTTGTACATGTAATTGTACCAGTAGAGCCTATGACTATGACTGTATCGTATCCATATATGCATAATTATTATGCACCACTGCTGGCTGGCATCTGTTAAAGTTGTGCCAGCACTGAAGAGCACCTCCACCAGGGAACCCTGCACATATGCTCCCTGACCTCCACCTCAATCTAGAGAGAGGGAGAGAGAGAGAGGGGGGGTAACCAGTGACAACGATGAAGCTGCGAAGCAAGGTCGTAACACAAGCACATACTATGGGTGGTTTGGGATCAAATAGCCCACAATACGGACACAAGCTTGTAAGTAATTAGTTGTACTTCAAGTACATTGCATACAGTATACGTACGAGTCGTACTACCAAGAGGCACAATGGGTACATGAATGTGGCTAATAGGGTCTTTCTTGGCACTTGTAGAATCTGCGAAGTAAAATAAACAACAACAACAACAACTTGTGCCAGCGGTTGTGAGACTTATCCACTCACCCCCACCGTTAGGCGCTGCATCTGCCGCTAGGGTTTACCGGGTGTTAGCAGCCGCCGTGAGTTCCCTTCGGGAACGGACACGATAATTTACTCTTTTTTTACTACCAAGAGTATTATAACTCTTGGTACTAACAAGAGTACATAACCCCCTGTTATGTACTCTTGATACTAAGTATACTGTAGGTCACAGAAGTGAGAGAGGTGAAACCCTCCGGGCCACACTTTCACGCTGTTGCCACCGACAAACAGTCGGCGGGCCAATACAAGGGAGCGCGAACATAGGGGACAACGGTTGCAAAAGCATGTAATTCCGAGAAGACATGTACAACAAAACCTGTCAAGGCGACCACTCGGATAAGGCGATCACCTGTCCTAGAATACCACTGCTACCAGGACCAAGGGATGCTATTTCCAGTCAAATGACCCTGGATAAGGAGACCACCTGGCCATGGAGACCACATTTTCGAATGTCCCTTGAGTGGTCGTCTTAGACAGGCTTCACTGTGTCATCGCACGCATGTCTCCGCTGACATCGAGAGCATGGTGCTGGCAGTGGGGAGCTCCACGTGTGAGTGTGAAGGAAGCCGCAAGTAATAGTTACAGCATGACTGTTAGTCTGTTAAGAATACATCACAGTCATAATCAAGAATGATGTCTAACACGAGGCAATGGAGCGGGAAGTGAAAGGAGAAAAAGTATTTAAAAAAATATAGCCTAATAGATGATGATACAGCATGTCTCACTTTGCAGACCAGCTGCAGCGGGGTAACATACACATGTGCACAGCGGAAGGAGACAAAAAAAAGACAGTCGATGACGGCGGCGGGTAGAATACGAGCCACTACTGCTGCATCTCCGACGCCACGCCCAGCTCAAGGTCACTCGCGAGTTTGCAGCGTTCGCCAAGCACAGCAGCGGACGCATGCAGGAAACGTCGCCGCCAACGGCCGCGAATATGAACAAGAGAGACGTGACCGAGAGAATGCGGGGCGCGATGACGAGCTGTCCAACCAGCCCCGGGTACATAGTGCCAATGCAGGTGGCGAATGTCTAAACTTACTGACATCCGAGATCAAGTGGACAAACACTAAAAAACGGGGCGAAGCGAGGCACGGTGCCTGCAACTGGGAATCGTAGACTCGGCGGAAATCTCATTTCAGAGGCGGCGGCAGGCTCAGCGACGGTACGCCAGGTAGATGTTCCACAGGAAGGAGATGACGTTAGCGAACAGGACGCGATACTGCAGCAGCAACATCAACACGCACCGTACATTGGGGGCACAACCACACAGCCGCCCACACGAAAAGCACAATCAAGCAGATATTTTAGCATGACGGCCATACCTTGAATACTGTAAACTGCCTAATGTCCGCAATGTATTAAACTAGGGTCGGCTAATTTCGCGAGAAGAGTATAACGCGAATACCGACCACCGTGAAATCAAACTTCAACAGTGTACGTATGCGTGTGACCCCAGTGCTCCACGGATATCTGCCATCGTAAACTTATACTGGTTCGGAGAGATTGCGGCAATTTAGTGACGGGAATTTTGGGCGGTTTTGCAGTGCATCAGTTTTACAACGTTCTATGCACAGAGTATCTCATCTATTGCAGTTAAATTAGTAAACATTAGTACGTCGCAAACATGTTAAAGCACTCTACAGTACAGATTCCTGTTCGCCACTCCCCATGGAGGTATGTCCCACCAGCGGTGCACAGTGGCACACTAGAAACAATGAAGATGTCCTGCTCTACATTATGAAAGGGTGTTTTTGTTGTTGTTGTTGTTTGTTTCGCCTTGGAGTGGTAGTGTGAGGTTCACGCAAGCACAGTGAGCTGGTGCAGGGGCATGTCTGACCCTAGTACGGCTCCTGCTTCGTATGTACTATAAATACCAGTAATGTCGCGTATTAAAGCCGGGTTTATTCCTGTAGAAGCCGGTGTAATGGCGAGGCTTATATTCACATCAGGCTTCTATTCAATCCAGGTATTTCTATGTATGTCAACACTAAAACCAGGCTTATGTGCCGACAGTGTATCTTGAAAATCAGGCTTGTATTCAAAACAGGCTTCTATTCGAGATAGGCTTTAATACGAGACACGTCGGTAGTCGTGCAGTCACTCCACACTATAGGTATGGCTTCAAGTGGCAGTGAGATAAATCTATTTTGCGGAAATTTCAGGAAGTGCAATTTTTCATTTTTTTCTTTTCGGTCTGCGCTGCAGCATCAGTAACTTTTATCGCGTTTTGCAGAAGAACACAAACGTCAGGCATCATTTTGACTGGGATGTATCGCGTTTTGACCCGTAAAACCGACAAACAGACGTCCGTGGGGGGGGGGGGGGTGAAAACGAATTATTTCGTAACAAAAAAGCAAAAGCTCCGGTTTGGTCTCTATCGTGTTTTGAATTGGAGCCCTTTACATACAACCAAGAGTACATAAACCAGAGTGTGCAACTGTGCATATCAGATCTGAAACAGCGCAGTTCGTGCACTACGTCACCCTGATGATGTCAGCCAAGCCGCGCCTTGCGTACAGCTCAAACTTTCGTGTTTAATAGCCCGGAAATCAGCCAAGTTTGCTTGATTTTAGACGTCATGTTTCAGGATTTCGGTGTTTTTATGGGACTGTGTACTGTGTACATCCACTGACAAGTAAAGTCACCAGGCTATCCGTATCAAAACACCGAAATCAGGACAAACTCAGTGACCTGCACCACCGTGACTGGTTACGCAACTTTTCACCGTACCTGTGGCTTACCATGCCGTCAGAAATGACGTACTGCGCGAATTACGCTCCCACAGGAACCATCCCGAGTTGCACACTCTGTTTTATGTACCCTTGATACAACATATTACAGGTGTTGAAGATCATCAGGCTGCGTATAGTGATCTATGTCCAGTGGACAGAGCCAGTAATACGATGCTCACTCAGCAATAACACAACCAAGTCCTTCTTTGCCGTTACTCTGAGTAACGGCAAAGAAGGACTTGGTTGTGTTATTGCTGTGTGAGCATTGTACAACCTATTACAGTCAGACCTCGCTAAACCGGATCCCTCGCCATCCGGACGAAAATCGTTGGTTACCGATTTACAGCTGATGCCATGCATGCATACAGTATGTGTGTTCAATTATCCGGTTTCCTCGCCTATCCGGATATTTTTGTGGGAAACGGATGTGTGCGGTTATACGAGGTCTGACTGTACATGTAAACTCCGAGACTTTTTTCACATGACAAGACTCCCCTCCTCCGACCCACTCGTTTTCCTCCAATCACCAGAACCTTCAACATAAAAGTAACTCCTTACCTCGGTGGGCACATAGGAGAAATTGATGTACTGTGCCAGAGTCCACACTTTCCAGTTCATTTTTAATGCTGTCCAGAAGACTCCACGGATACGCTGAATGGCTGCCTGGACGGACAGACCCTGAGAGAGACGGAGAGACGGAGAGACGGAGAGACGGAGAGAGAGAGAGAGAGAGAGAGAGAGAGAGAGAGAGAGAGAGAGAGAGAGAGAGAGAGAGAGAGAGAGAGAGAGAGAGAGAGAGAGAGAGACACACACACACACACAGACACACAGATGAGCGGCCTCTAAAGGCAGGTGATCTCTTGCCGCAGTAGTCACCGGACACAGGTTGTACGACAGCGGTACACAGGGAGAGCTTAGCACATGGCAGCGATGTAGGCTATGGCCTGTGGAGAATTCATAAATACAACTACAAAGAAGGCCAGTGGGCAGTGCTCGGCCATGGGAACTTCACAGCCATCTCACTCTCCGCGTCACCATGGCACTCGATGACTGGCTGATGGTGTGTTGATGATGGTGCACGATGGCCAACAAAACACAACGAAGAGAACAGGCTGACGTGAAGAGTGCTACGACTGCGAAAGTAGTACACTGGAGCCTGGCGGAAATTGATAAGAGTGCACAACGCTTACACAGAAACAGTGCTGTAGGGCGCCGAAGAATAGAGGATGAGCGCCATAGCACACGCCATTTTAGATTTCACATGCTAATGTCTACTAGCACTCGGCGGGGGACGCACGGTGGCTTACCTCCAGAAGAGCGACGACGAAGAAGAACACCATCAGGTACGGTGGCGCGAACAGCAGGCGGTCGATGGCCACACGGTACACGGCGGCGTACTTCATGTTGCGCGGCACTGCGC